TGAGGCCATTAGCTGTAGGTTGTGGTACTGTAGGGTTTTTGGGACTGTTGGGTTACTGTAGGGTTATGGAACACGTGTGTGTTTGTTTGGCAGAATTTCTAGTGGGCACCCGTAGGTTTCTGCCATACCCGGTTGGGGGATGGCGGCCTCTCTCTCCAGACACCGTGACTGCCCGGAGAGAAGTGCCACCCGTGACCGAGATTCGAACCGGCGACGGTGCGCGTTGCGACCGACGCATTATCCACTCGGCCACTCCGTCCCCCAAATTACTATTTATTTAATAGTTAAAGTCTACATACTTTCTTATCTTTTTTCTCTAACTGTTTTTGTCTCTTCTCTGCTTCTTTCAATTCTTTCAAAACTTTCTCTAAATAAAATAATCAGAAATATATTTTACAAGTGACTGAAATGTTTGGAAACAATTTATACAGTTAATATAATATTATAAAGAAAAATATAATTCTTTTTGAACACTGATTACAGAGTAAACAGTAAAATATAAATGTTAAATGTATAATTCATTAATTAATAATTTCTAGCTACAAATCATTAAGATTTTTTCATATAATATTATGACTGGTTATTTTATATTAATTCAATCATAAATAATACCTTCTGCTTCATTTAAGTTTTTTGTTTCTTTGTTTATGACTTCTACTTTCTCTTCTACGTTGGGTTTTATTTTCGTATCAATTTTCTTGACTTCTTTTGGTATTGATGTTGGTATTGATGTTGGTGTAGATGTTGGTATAGTAGATATTGGTATTGATGATGGACCATTATCACTTTTTGGATTTACTTTGACCACTTGTTCTACTTTTGGTGTATTTTCTTCTATCTGAGGTTTTGTAAGTTCTGGTAAAGTAGTCGGCCGTACAATATTAATAATTTTTCTAAGTTTTTCTTCTTCTTCTTGTAACTCATTAATTTTGATCTGCATTTATACAAATAAACAAAATAAGATATAAATTATTACACAACAACTATCAATACTGTACTTTTAATCTTTTGATCTCAACTTTATCCACAGTTTTATAATTTCTAAGATCAGACATATAAGATTCTAAAGAGTCTTCATCATTAGTTCCACCATACTCTTTGGTAACATTTCGATTTAATCTGTTTAATTTACTCTTAGTATGTTTAAGATCAGCAATTAAAAGTTTATGTTTTTCCATCTGAAAAAAAATGATAGGTGTTACAATCTGACTAAAGTATTGATTTTATAATATCATAATTTTAATTTAATGGGACAATGTACATACCAATGTTTCATAAGTATCAACAGTTTCAGCAGCTTTACCAAATTTTTTCATTCTTTTTTTGCGCTTCGCATCAATATCTCCTGTACGATCCAAGAAATTATCATCATCACTGTCATAAAAGTCTTCCTCTTCCCAATTTTTTTCTTTACGTTTCCTACTTTCTGTAATATAAAAAGGTATAGTTTAAGTATGCACTTAAAATAAATAAATATACACAAATATATTTACCATGCGTGGATTGTCTTAAAAGTCCATACATATCCAAAATTTTACATGCTTCTAATGCACAATGTGCAATTGCTTCTTTTTTTTTACCACTTATTGTAGCTTCAGCAATTTGTGGTCTTCCTGTAATGTTTGCTATTGGTAATCTAAAATAGAATAGTTTCAAAATATTTTTTAGAAATTATTATGAATAATATTACTTACTCTATACGACAGGTAAATGTTCCAAATCCTTTTTCTGATACATCATACTCCAATTCTTGTCCTTCTCTTTCAAACCAACCTTTCAATGTTTTTTTAGGATCATCCAAATATAATTGCTCATTTTCTTTAGGGGCAAAAGGATTCTCTTTGGTATCTTCTTCTTCATTTGCATCTTCGCCTAAAATATTAATAAAAACATAACACAAAAAAATATGTAGTTTAAAATTTAACCAAAACTATTTAATTACACCATTCCAATTTCAAAAATTTTAACCTATGAAAAAGTTAAGTAGAACAAAGTAATAAAAATAAATGTTCATTCATATTATCTAAGCTTTAAAAGTAAAAAAATACAAGTTTCATTGCCATTTATAGTTAGTATTATAAATATATTTAATACATACCCATTCCCCAATCAACACCCTGTTCCATTTTTTTTCTCTCTTCTTCCTCCCTTTTTAGCCTTAGCAACTCTTGTTCTCTTTCTCTTTGAACAAGTTCTGCTTGTCGTTTAGCTTTTAATTCAGTAACAGTTAATTCAGATTCTTTTTCTTCGTCGTCTGGTGGTCCTTGTAACAAATACATTCTAGTACTACCACCAAAACTAATCAAATGACCAACCTGGAAATCACATAATCAAAAAGTAAATAAATTATGTATAGAATATAGTATTTTTAAAGTAAACATAACAAATGTATAAAAAAATTTAAAAACCTACGTGGACTTTTACATAAGTCTTAGGCTTAATTCTTAAACGGTTTAAGAATGTTCCATGTGTACTGTCCAAATCGTATAAATAAAACCCTCTATTTTCATCGCTGATAGAAAAAGTAGAACGATATTGTAGGATTGCATGAAAACGTGAAATTGTTGGATGTGCCATAGTGACATGGCAATTATTTAAACGTCCAAAGCAATGGAATGATCGACTTTCTAATTGAATTGTACTTAACATTACACCAGATTTTAACTCCTAAATAATTATTAAAAAAAAAAATTAAAATTAAATATCAACAACAAAAAAATCAATAAACAAAATCCTAATGAATAAATTGTCAGTACTCAAACCTCTAAAAAATATTTATCTCCAGGTTTCCCACCCCAAGACGGTTCTTCGTACGGAATAGGAACTTGAGAAGTTGTCTTTGAAACTTTTTTTGGTTGGTCTATTTTTTGTTCAACACTGAGTTTTGTATTTTCTGCCATGTTTATTGTCGATGCAACATCACCATCACCGCTAATAACTTCCTCACATATTACTGGTTTTTTCGAGCCAGGTCTGGGGCCGAACAATTTAGGCACTTTGAACACAGGCCCTTCCTTTTCGTTGTCCATGATAAATAAAGTAAGTACACTTGAGATGTAGGTGCGTTTGCCTGAAGAGTTATGTTTATGAACTCAAATACAAAAACCTAATACCTACCTACAGGCTACAGGTTTTTAATATATTATAAGGATGAAGCCTCACACTTTTGTAAGACTCAGGAACTAAATAGAACGAGTGAACGACAAAAATAGTAGATCTTATATGCTTTATGAATTATCGTGAAGTAAACTGAACGTTTTCGAATATTTTGATTTTTTGTTATCTAATATCTATTATCAGTGTTCATGAGCTCACAACAACAATAACATAATGTTATGCCATATTCCCATGTTCAAATAGTTCAGTAGACTATATTATAGATTTATAGAGTAACTAGACAGTAGACCATACAAATTAGAAGTCAGTCCAGATCCAGAGGCAAGGAGTCAAGAAACATTACAGAAAATACAAGACTAATAAAAGAAATTGATCGATCGTGAAAATAGGTAAGTACTAAGTATGTCAATCGAATTTAAAAAACGTAAAGTTGTGCAAAACCGACGTAGACGAGCTACCTCAGATAGTGAAAACAGTGATGAAGAAAGTGCTGTTGTTTTAAATGAAAAACGAAGTAAAAAATCTAGCCCATTTATACAAAGTACTTCCAACAAGAAGCTCAAAGCGTCTGAACCAATACATGATTCTTCAGAGAGTGATAATGAATCTGTCGGTGTTTCATACCGTTCCAAAATGGACACCGACATGAGTGGACCAAAAGACATGGGTGCAACAGCAACAATTGAAATTGATACTGAGCTTGACAAAGATGCCCAAGCCATCTATGAACGTTCTTTACAAGTGAATAAAGAACTTAAAGGTAAAGAAGATGACAAAGTTTATAGAGGTTTAGCGAATTATACTCAATATTATGAGAAAAAAGATACAGCGTTAGGTAATGCATCTAGTGGAATGGTACGCAAAGGACCTATAAGAGCACCGGCAAATTTACGTTCTACTGTTCGTTGGGATTATCAACCTGACATTTGTAAAGATTATAAAGAAACTGGTTTTTGTGGTTTTGGTGACAGTTGTAAATTCTTACATGATCGTTCAGACTATAAATTTGGGTGGCAATTAGAAATGGAATCTTCACAACAAGGTGATTCAGATGATGATGATCCATCAAAGTATGAAATTAAAGAAAATGATGATGATTATCTGCCTTTTAAATGTTTGATTTGTCGAGGATCTTATGTCAATCCTGTAATGACAAAATGTAAACATTATTTCTGTGAAAAGTGTGCTTTAGCTCATTTCAAAAAGAGCACTAAATGTTTTGTTTGTGAGAAACAAACCGGAGGATTTTTTGATCCTGCTACAACTATTATTGATCGACTTAATGCAGCTAATACAGACATAATACATCAATGTAATTCAGACGAAGAATCGGATTAATTAATCTATTATTTTTAATTATACCTATTACCTAAGTATAAATATTTAATAGTATTAAACCATATTATAAATGCATAAAAATTGTTGATTTAGTTAAGTAATTATAATTTAAGATTTATTTTTTTCAAAATTAATAGTTTTTAACGAATTAAAGGTATTTTCTGTCCTCTAGTTTTTACAGCACAAACAACATTTTTCTTATTTTAGATTTGTAAATTACCTGTAGTCCAATACAAAAACTTTGAACGATCTATGTCAAACCTTACAATCTACCATTCATCCATACAATCACCATACAATCTACCTTACATAACTACCTAGTTAAATCATAAACATATTGTATTAATTTGATGTCCCAAATTATTACGATTGAATTCTAGACCTCAATAAAAAATGTGATTTTGTAATTATTTTAAGAACTAATAAACTAGGTTTTATTTATTTTGGTTTATTATTAAAAAAAATGTTCTAATCAATAAACAACATTAGTTATTCTTACAATAGTACAATCTTTTTTTTTAATACTCTACATTTCATTTGTTGATACACTAAACCAACAGATTTTTTTTTTATTTATTATTTTTTAGTCGGTAACTACGATAGCTCAACAATTATAAATTATACAACTATACGAGATGGGCTTATGACAAACACAGAAGAAAAGAACAATACATATTGATATTAAGACTGTAGAAAGTATAAAAAAAAAAATTTACAAAAATAATAATAATGACATTAGATTACAAATCAGCTTCCAATATTAAGTTGGTTATTTTTTTAATGACCATTTCAGATCAACAGAATGTTAAAAATAATAATCCCTCATTATTGTAACTGTATTCTGTAAAGGTGTACGTATGGTTTCCCTGCAACGTCAAATAGTGGAACAGAATCGCATTGTGGTGCAGATCTTATGCCGGAACTGGTAGTGGCGCCAGGAGCTGCAGGGAAAATATTCCCTGATAGACCCAAAGATGGTCTGGGAAAAAATTTCCAGTTAGAAATTATGTACACTTAGGCCACATTTATTGCAAGAATATTAAAAATTTGGGAGGGAGCAACTGTAAAGTGAGCTGTACCTATTTATATATACCATAGTTGTTGTAGATAACTTTAAATTTCTTAAAATTTTACCTCAATTTGGAAGTTTGATGTATTTTCTATTATTAGTACAATGTAAAATCATATCAACATTTCTAAAATAAATACCAAATATTTTTAAAAAACTTGTTATAGCTGATGAAGTGATAACCATCAAGGCTCAAATCTATGTTGTATATGATATTTTAAATTTTGTATTTCATTATTTAAAAATATTAGTAAATATTAAGATAAATTATTTTGAATTATTTTACATTTATCAGTCATAGGTAAAAAAATGAAAGTGTACGAGTCATCCTAAATAATAAGATATTAAGAAATTATAGTAAAGTAAATGGTTTATAATTGATTATACTTCTTAATATATGCTTATTAATTATTACCAAATTATAAACAGTATAACCTTGATTACCTTACCTGTATTGGCTATATCTATGTGCAGTTAGACAAAAAGAGGGATGGATAATTAAATTTGATGAATATAAGAAAAACAATTATATTTAACTATATAACAATTTATAATAATTAATTTTTTATATTACATGTATCAATGTATTTATTTTTATTTAGGTTTTTAAGATGTATTAGGATAATATTTATAAAATACAATAATTAAAAAAATTGGTTATTTTAGTTTGTTTATACAAATCATGGGCCTTTTTCATAAGCAAGATTTTAATTTATTTTTTAAGAATACATTATTTTATTAATAGTACATGATAATGAAATTAACTTATGATGAGAGGCGGAATATAACAGAAATTATCAGATAATCATGGTTATACTATAGTTGTAAGTCATATAAACTGCTTAAATTAATTAATTTAATGAAAAATTCCAAAACTTAAAATGTATTGTGTAAAATATAAATACTAAAACAGTATCATCTTTTAGTATAGATCAAATATGTAATATATTATAATATGTAGGTCAACACAATTATTTCTTTTGATTCTAAAAAAATTGTTTGTATTATAAAACTTTATTTAATCTGTGGTATTATTAAAAGCTTAGAGAGTAATGACTACACAATATGAAATATAGCTTAGCTGCTTAGAGACATCCAAGTATCCACCCAAAATATTAATGATGCTTGTAGATACATTAGCATTGTCCATTTTGTATAGTGAATTTTTATAAATAACGTCTTGTTCATCCTGAGTAATTGTGAATTACACATTTATAAATTATTGGGAAACAACTCAAATAAAATTAATTTTGGCGGCCAGTGATAAATTTAGGATTGATGAAAAATAAATTTAAGATTTCTATTCCATGATATTGATAAGAACCGGATAATAAACGTGATTTACATTTTTTACCATTCAATTTACGTTCCATAGACTAGTCCATACTGTCAGAGTCTGACTAATCCACAGCTCATTGCCCATTGGCCTCTTGCCCTCATTGACCATTGTCTTTGGAGTCTGGCGTTGATAAAAAATTGTTTTTAATTTTTACTACGACGTTGTCGTTGTCGTTTTTGAAACTTGTTGTTCTTGTTATTGTCGTTCCGAGTCCTAACATCTACGGAAACTTAAATAGTCAAAAACTGTGAAAAAGAATCTCACAACGCCGAGCGATTACCGGACAACTCTACTTCTCGACCGTACTGTGAGTACGATTCCATCCCGAGGTGGTGTGTTCAATCCGTTCCGAGTAATGAAAGATCGGCAAACTGCACCAGGAGATGGTATTAGATCTCTAAAAACTTCCAGAGTGTTTCGGATTATCAACTTTGAGCTTTACTCAAAACCGGTAATATAATAATGTCATGTTTTATTATACCTAATTTATCGATATTTTTTATGTTAAACAATAAGTCGATTTTGGCTGTTTGGCGAAACGCCACTACGTCTTAATGTCTTATGTTGAATAAGAAAATAATAGGTACTTAATAATCAATATTTGTTATTTATTCTCGTCATTCGGATTTTTCTATGAAATTTTATTCAGCACATCCAATGATTTTTTGACAACCTAACCCCTGTTATAATGTATTATTATAATCACTTTTGTGTTATTTCTTAAATTTGTTGATTAAACCTTTCAATGAATTTAATATTGTGCTAAACAAAAAATATTTAATATTTAAGTGTTTACTTACCTATTGTTCTTTTTCACCTACAAATAAAATATGACTAAAAGTTAAGTACCAAGAAGTAGCTTTAGAATCTTAGGGAGGTAATTATATCAAATATGCACCTATAGGTACCTATTATCTATAATTTTATGAAAAATATGTGTGTTTAAGAAATTGCGTAATAAAGTGTAGTATAAAAATCAGATGCACAAACATTTGCTACTATTATGTTTGTAATTTTTTTCAGAATAAAGTGATCATGGCATTAGGACTTGTATCAATATCATTCACATTTGGATATCTAGTATACATGAGACACCAATATGAAAAAATGGGATATTATCCAGCTGTTGCTGAAGATGGCCGCCATGAAGTATATAAACAAAGACAATCCAAATGGGATTGAAATTGTATTGTTTTAGTATTACAACACCTTTTAGCCCTACTTCATCCTTACATAATTATTCTACTTAAAAATGGAATCTTCACTAGCCGTTGAGGCTGATATTGACAAATTAATTGCCAAGTATAATAAATATGGACCAAAATGGCAATTCCAACTACACAGATTCATTTCAACATTAGAACGGTATAAACGAGAAATTGAAAGTCAAAGTTCTGAAATAGATAAGTGTGGACTTTCTTCAACAATTTTACAAATGAAACTCGCTATAAAGGATATTTCGAATGAACATAGAAGATGGCATAGCGATGTTTCAAGAGTAGGCAAAACTATTGACAAAAATTTTGTTGCTGACTATACAGAAGCTAGTAATAAAAAAGCGTTTAAGACCGATCATGAAAAAGAAATACTAAACAAAATAATTTGTATGCATTTGTACAGGGATTCAAAATGGGAAGTGGCTGAAGAATTTTTAAAAGAAGCTGGTATCACAGTTGATGATAAACAGAAACAACGTTATTTAAATTTGAACCATATTGTTGATAGTCTGAGACAAAAAGATCCTATGCCAGCGTTTGAATGGGTATATCAAAACAAAATTCAGTTGGATGCTAAAAAATCAGATCTAGAATTTAAATTGCACCAAATTGTGTTTTTAGATATTCTTAATCGTGGTGATCAATATGAAGCAGTTGTCTATGCTCGCACAAATTTCAGTCGTTTTATTGACAAACAAAAAGAAATCCAATCTACAATGGGTATGTTATTATATCCACCTAATGTTGCACAAATGCGTACTGAAGTTATTGACCTATTTATAAAAGATTCTTGTCTTAGTGATGATGATATGTTAAGTGTGTGTGTGAATGTGGGTTGCTCAGCTTTACCAGCTTTATTGGATATTAAACAAGCAATTTGTCGAGATGTGGGAGGAGTTTGGAACGAAAATGACGAATTACCAATCAAAATTGATACTGGTTTTGCGTATCATTCAGTATTTGCTTGTCCAATATTAAGAACTAGAAGTGGAACATCTAATCCACCTATGATGTTAGTATGTGGCCATGTTATATCCAAAGATGCTCTCAATAAATTGGAACGATCTGGTAGATTAAAGTGTCCATATTGTCCTAAAGAACAACTTCCATCAGAAGCTAGAACTATAAATTTCTAGATTGTTTATAATATTTTAAATGTTCTCATCGTGTACAATGTAAATAGTTAATAATATTGTATTTAAAAAAATGTATATCTACTAATATACATTGGTTATAACTTATAATGTATGGTCTTTTTTTTAATTATAACAGCTGCATCATATATATTGTAATGTATCAAATTGGAGGTTAAATAATTTTATTTATAAGAAATCAATTTGGCAAATCATCATGTTACTTATAAGTAATTTCAATGGTGACTATTCCAAGTTTATATACCTAGTTTTCTTATTTAAAATTAAAACTGGCATTTTTCCAAGTATATAATATATATCCATAATCTATTACAATAAATTTCATAAAGTTAAAATTACATACTTCTTAATTTGTAGTAAAACAATTTGATTAAAATTTCTTTTGTAAACGATGGTAATATTTTAATTTAACATTATTTATGTTAACATATGGTATGTTTATATTTTTAGTCAAATGAGATACAGTTTTAGAAGGTTATTAGAAATGTTAAATTGTGTAAATTTACTTTTATAAATATATTTTAAATACTTATATTTGTACGAATGTGTGTATATTATGTGTTTAGGTAATTTTCAAATTGAGCAAATCAATAAGAAAAGTATAGTTAATACAAATAATATGTAAAACAATTTTTACGGATTTTATCATGCTGTAGTGTCATGATTTCAAATTGCATCTAAATTTAGAGATGTTAGTTTTTTGTTTCCCAGTTTAGAATAAATATTATAAAAAAAAAAATTATTGTATGCGTCTCATGGTATTATTATCCAAGCTATGTTTAAAGCATCAATGTTACATTAACATATCCATTCAAACTTTGATATTAAATTTAAAAAACACATAATACATATCAAATAACAATATATTACCAAATTACTCATAATTTATAAATAAACATTCCAAAATATTAAAATTATTAAAAACTATCAATTGAAACAAGTTTAAGTACAAATGGGTTATAACTTATAACAGCAGTGTCAACATAGTTGGTGAAGTGGGTGGGTGCTGGATGGCATACTAAATAGCATTTTATATGTTTTTCCTCAATGTATCATTAATCGCTTTAGCAACATAACTAATATTTGTGAAATTCAGTCCAGTGACATTTATCCGTCCGCTTTTTATCATATAAATGTGGTGAAAATGTCTCAAGTATTCCACTTGACTATCTGAAATTAAACACTTGGGTTAGTATGCATTATACAATTATTTTAATTATAGTTTATCTTACACTTTCAATTTCTATATTCCATCTATCATATTTACCTGTCAATAGTAACAATATAAACATCCCTTTTTGATCTGTTATATGGTTCCATTTTCTAAGAGCATCTTCTTCCTCAAGAGCTTTTCGAAAAGCTTTTCTTAGTTCTATCATTTGAACGGCCATAGCTTTGGAACTGCTCAGCCTTTTACAACATAAATATGTACATTTTTAATCATTTACACCTAGAATAGAATTGTGTACTATAATTTACCATTCGTCATATAGTTCAGGATTGGATAATATTTTGAAAACTGTGCTAGCACCGTGGTTTGGAGGATTTGAGTAGAGACTTCTAACTATTCTCTCGAAGTGAACTTTAAGGCTATTGATGTTGTGGCCAGATTTTTGTACAATCGTCAAGTTTCCGACTCGTTCGTCTAATAGAAAATTTATTTGATTAATACCATGTTGTAGATATAGGTATGTTTAAGGTAGTAGTAGTTTAGTCTATAACTCACTGTACAAAGTGAACATCTTAGAAAACGATTGTGCGCATAGAAATTCGAACCCTTCACTATGGAAGTAACGTACGGGCCAGGTGTCTTCTTCAATATCTCCAGACGCCATTCCTTGATACGCAATGTCGAAGAACGGTATCAATTTACGTTCCTGAAGATTTTCAAATTTTTTAACAAAATTGTGATGTAATGATTAATTTTTAAGTACACGATCTGGTGGCATATTTAGGGCCCCAGAAAGTCTAAGCCGGAGAGCCTCAGGAACTTTTTTTATGATTTATGCGTCATTAAAATATTGAGAAATAAGTTAAATTTTTTTAAATCAAATGGAGGCTTGAAAAGTTCATTTCTAAGTATATAATGTTATTATTTTAAATACCTACGTTTATAAATAATAAAACAATTATTATATTATTTATTAATTTTAAGAATAACTCTGAACGGCTTTTACAAAAGAGTGAAAAGAATAAAGATTAAAGATATATAATTTTATAATATGTTAAATTAATAGCTATTCTTCAATATAAACTAAGTAACAAATTAACAATCAAACAATATAAGTACCTATAAAAGCAAATTACGAGGCAAATAAACAATTAAAGGGCCAAGATCAAACTATATTGGCAGACGTGTAAGCGTTCTGTGCACGGGGTGGTTATAGCTGAAGGGAGTAGAATAAGAGGAATTATGTTTTTTTTTTATTTGCTCTTATAACATCACTATTTAGTATTTAATAATTTAATTACCGTGCTTAAGGGGCCTCCTTCTGTTTTTGATACCATTCTACAGAGTTGTACACTTGTACGCCACTGTGAGGTACCTACCTATTAAAAAATCTTAACTTACTTTCATAATTTCGGCAATAGTTTTCCACTGTTCTTTGGTCAGGTCCAATCCAGTTGGATTATGACCACACACGTGCAATATTATGACTGAATCAACAGAAGCATTAGAAATATCCTCACAAAGTCCTTCGAAATCAATATCTATAGTTTCTTTATTCATGTAACGATATTGTATTTCATTTCGAAAACCACTAAACGAGAACAAGGTTCCATGCAATTCTGAAAAAAATTAATAGTTATAAAACCAAAAAGTTGACAAATACTTATAATAAATTATTACTATTGGGTAGTATCTTCCTCGAAAAATAATATTTTTATTTAGTATTTAGAAACAAAATTACTTAATGTGGTAAGTTTGTGACTTCTATAAAAAAAAATTCCTGCAAATAACTAAATTAATTTCTAGATGTTTGGAAAACAATGGTAAAAATTGAAAATCTGAAATTAGAAATTTCAAGGTAACTAAGTTTTAATGGTACTTATAGCAATTTGAAGTTTGTTGCTTATTTAATTATCTATTAATATTACATCGCATATCTAATGCATATAGACCCGGCAACTGCGGCAAGGTCACTCGCTCGCTTGGTAAGTTTAAATTGAAATTATCCCTCGATGTATTATGTAAAACCACCTAGGGTAGCTCCGTTAATAGGAAAAACAACAAATTTGGAAAATGGTTATAACATTAATTATTGAAACTTAAAGTTTCTGCGAAATTCTGATTATATTAAATTATATTAAATATTTAATATAATCTGTGCTATTACTAAAAATACATTAGAAAAAAAATTGAAATAAACGAGCCGTCTGAAGATTTAAGCGTAGTTGTATACCATTTAAAAATATAATTTAAACGGTTCCATCATTTTCCTTGACGAAATATTTATTTATAGGTAGGTACTAAAATATAACTCAATATTTTACCAGCTATATTAGGTAGGTATTTTTAATTACTAACCCCATGACGGATCGGGATAACAAACAGTTGTGCAATTCATGTACCGCGATAAGAATTCAGCTCCAATTTTCAAAGCTCCGGCTCCACCAATGCTCTGAACACCAAATACCTATATTAAATGTAACATCAAAATTAAGTCTTCATAAATTGATGATTAAAAATTAAAATCCTAAATTGTCTGGTTTTCTGCCTCGTATTGATATGTACCTATATTATGTAGATTTAAAATCAGTTTTACAATAATTGCCCACCAGGCTACCTACTAACCTAACATATGTGACAATGATGTTAATGTTCTCCAATAATTGCGTTAGTATAATACATAATAGTATGCTACGTACTCACCTTTCCGTCTTTCCACTGTTGATCAATATCACCTAATAATAAACGGCTTGCTGATTTTGTAAAACCTTCAATTCCTGTGGGTGATAAGTAACCGTGATTCAAAGTGTCATTTACAACCATGTTTTCTGCTCTCTTAACCACAGGTAACAAATAGTTACTACCATCTTCCAATCTAAAAGCTATAGCAATAGGTAGCTAATAATTATTGTAATTTATAAGACTATGGCTATATTCACTCCTATTTTTGTGAAGTCCGTCATTACACTGTGAAATTAAAAGAAAATACTACTAATATACCTATAAATGGATAGGTACTAGGTAGTTAAAGTTAAAATGTACAAGCCCAGCTTAGATAATGATTGATGACTTAACAGTGGTCTTCTACTAGAAACTTACCTTAATTAATTATACATAAGCAATTTTGTGTTTTCTATAAACTATATAATACCTAATAATTATCGTTATAAAGTGTTTATAGCATCATAAATGTCACAAGTCACAACTCACAAGACACGTTATGTTCTCAAGAATATAGTGACAAACTGACAAAACTCAAATAACGGAAATTTTTGGGACAATTATATGAAAAAACTATTGTAGGTATTATTTCTTCAATAACTGTTTTATTCTGAACATAATTTGTACATTTGTACATAAATTAAAACATTATTTAATTTATGTTAAACACCTACATTTTATTATTTTTATTTAGTACCTACCCATTTAATATAGGTATGTGGGTATATAATATATTATTACGCATAATATGCAGGCTCTATAATATCATCTCTTTAGTTAAATAATAAAAAAATGAAATTTTTTTTAGAAGTCTGCGTATTCTTGTGCATTGGCGAATAATGTGGTTGGTTTTTTATTGCCAAGTGCTGTATATTAGGTACTTACTTCCATAGATAAGATCTACTTTTAGAGGAGAGATGTCGTCTTGGAATGCAGTATTGACTTCAATATATCCATTACGGCCCACTACGGGAACATTACTGAATTGAACCATGATTATAGTTGTTGCTCAATATAATATTAAAACAAACTGTCTAGGTATTTACTATGTTATAAACCTTCTACACCTAGTAGGTATCTATCTAATGGCCACTATAGTGTATATAGGTACTATGAAATATGTAATTTAACTGTATAAATAGAGTTTAGTTAAGTAGAAGACCTTATATTTGCCAGAAACGTTCTAAACAATTCTTGAACTCGATTGAGACTGTCGATGTTATTAAGTTACTCGGATCAAATGACGACTATTGGAGCTAGGCATATAAATAACTGTAGAAGAAGAATATTGTTTGATTTATGGTGGTTTATATAGAGGTAAAAAAACAATCGCTGTTCTCGTGCATGCACTGCAGATATAGGTAGCAAGTAAGTACCCATAAGGCCATAAATATTGTATATACCTAACACGGCTTTAGTAATTCAGTCATAACACTATCTATATCACGCATATACATACTTAGCGCTCATCATTTTCCACACCAGCTTACTCTTTTTGGTAAGCCATAATTGCGAACGTAGCATGTGATATGTCATCTGTGTAAGGTGTCATTAACGTTGAAGAGAGCGTGATGACGATATATTCTGGTCAGGTCTGAACTCGAGGTGCAGAGAATGTTTTTTTTTTAAGTTTATACGTTTATTTTAAGTTTTATACAGTGTGTTCGACGATGAAGGTGAATTACTTAAATTTTTCCAAGCAACTTTGACTTATAAAATTTTTTTTTTCTTAAGCTTTTGATTTATGCATGTCATATTTATCTCATTTGTCTTTTAATAATTTAGTGAAAATCATATAAATGTGATTTGCTTACGATACCACACATAAATTTAAAAAAAAAAGCATACGAAATCACAAGGAACATCGTAAAATTGTAGATAGACTGTTAAAAAATATGATAAATATACTACATGCATAAATTAAAACCTTGGCTTGCTCTTAGTAAGTCAATTTTTAAGAGAGAAAATAACTTTAGAGTCAAAGTTGCTTAAAAAAATAAAATAATTCAAACTTGAACTGAAAAAGAGGGGTACAATTAAAAAAATTATTTTGTTGCGAATGAATGGAATTTTTTTTAAAAATATGTGCATTATTAAATCCTTTATGCAATAAAAAGAAAACCAAATGAAATTCAACTTCACGAGTTAGAAATATTTCGTGTTACCTTTATTGTTGAACACACTGTATACAAATTAAAAATAGGTTAATCAACTTTCAAGTACCTACCTGCATATCTACCTATATTCGTTGCTCATCATATTATCATGTTCTTACACCATCATTTTTATTTGTTTATTGCACAATGTGTCTGATCGATAGATATCATAAATCATTATGTATAACTAACTATACCTAACTATATAATTGATACTTAACCGTAAGACATACTTGGGCCACAGCTGTTTCTGCAGCCTTGTCAACCCCTGAACACACGTCAACCGCATTGTGTCATTTTATAGTACCATTGATTATCACTATTTATAATATTATTCATGGTACCTATTACTTATGGAGCTATTATATTAAAGTAGGTAACCTATTGGCTTTTAATTGCTATTATAATCTCATATGCGGCTGTACTTACATCGTACATAGGTATACAAAACACTTGACACCATAAACGATTGTCGAATGGTATAATTGTACAAGTATATGGTGCAATTATAAGTAAAAAAAAGTAATACATTAATAAGTACGTGTATTGTACCTAACTAAGTAATTTTTAACTTTTCTACTAGTCGTATATTTGTATTACAATATGCTTGTTGAAAACAATTGTTATCAAAACGTCAATGGCGAGAACCTGTTAAACAAGAGTTCGGACTCCTGCGCATTATAGGCGTTTATTCAGTCTTAAACTTAAAAGTGCTTAAATGTTTTACCCCAAAGTTCCTTTGCTCCTCGCCCCCTATACAGTTTTACGGTTGTATACATCAGTCATAAATTAATTTTATTTCTGATAAAATTATAAATTACTACGTTCAAAAGTAGTAAACCTGATTTTTCAGAATCTTTTTTGACCGATTTATAATAAGTTATTATTATTATTAATAACCAATTATTGCAAAGACTATTACATTCTTCGATGAACAATGGAAGCAGACAAGTAGTTAAGGTCATCCACATTTTCACTACTTTCATCATTTTTGTTTTATTAAATTTAAATATTATACTTAACATATTTAAACAGGAAATATATGTCCGTGCCATAGGTAAGTGCATTACTTATACAAACTACAGGGATAAATTCATTCTTATAAACTCAAAATTATACTTTAAACAACATTTTTTAACTCAAAATAATCTGTTGGTGCTAATTAAAGAGGGCTGCTAAGCACTTCCTGGCATCCCCATATGTGTGCCAATACTCCTGTGGTGAACATCTATTGAACAAGAGATTGGACTCCTGCCTGTTGCAATATAGTTCTGCAAATACGACCGATGTGTGGTACAAGTTAACGATATTATACACTTAAGAATCAAAATAAAATTGAAGAAGTAAGGGTAAAAGGTAAATTTGTCTCTTTATTTATTTTTTAATAATACATTTTAATTGTTATATGAATATGTAATTCTTATGTAGATCATGTTTTTGCTTGCTATCCGAAACCTACTTGAGCCGAAAACCTGGCAAACTTGCTTGGTCCCCACCGAATATATCTCAACCCATGGATCAAGGAATAATTTATTACGAAAAATATATTACCACTCGTTTCTTATACAGTATGCCTATTTAATTGCAAATATTGATCAGATAAATATAGTATACCTCAAATATTTAAAAAAAAATAAAAGTGCTCAGCGGAATATTTTTTGAGAAAAATTGTTCACGGAAAGCGAAGAAATGTATTTACAGAATGAATGTGAAAATAAAGTAATCCATCTGAAAAAAAGAAAGGCTCGAGGGGGTTATTATTGTATAAAGAATAAAGATGTCATATTGGGTAAAGCATAGATACCACTTACCTAATGTTAGTCTATAATATTAACCTCTTACTGCATAAAGGGGATATAAGTCCACTTTTTATAATTTTTTAGGAGAGACAAAAAACATGGGCTTATCCATTTTCTGTTGTAAACCATTATTTCCAATAAATAAAAATATAGAATATAATTATATAAATATATGATTAATTCATATAAAATAAAAATGATGAATGTCTTAAACTATAATTATATGTTATGAATAATATAATTTATAATAAATTGAATAATCTAGAAATCTGTTTAAAGAGGAATTTCTGGTTAGTCCCACGAGTTTTTGCTCTAAAAAGGTAGGTTGTCACTGCACGTTTAATAATATCCACCACTAGTAGTTTTGGGTGTAGTCAGAATAGTGGGAGTAGTGGAGATAAAATGATTTTGTCAACTGGGGGGGGGGAGATAATTCTTCAACTGACAAGTGGCGACCCAGGAAATCTAGTACCTACCGAACCGCTGCAGCTCTGACTATCTTTTGAAGCTAAAATAAGGTCTTCGATTGTGGGCGTAAGTCACCAAAACCTGCAAGTATGCTTGTACCTATGATACTCTATAAAGCGAAACAACAGCCTGCAAGTGAGCAGGCTTAGAAATATTCACGGTAAGAGATAGCCCCGGGTGGCGGTCGAGCCATAATGACTGTGTATTATCCACCCCCATAAACAGATTCATATCGGTGGGTTGGGTTCTTTAAGGGTGAAACTGTAAACAGTGATTTCGCAGTTTAACTTCACGGGACTTCACAGATCGCGGGAAGCAGCAACTTAGGTTAGGCCAACTGGGAGATTTAAGTATCTCTCTGGCCGTCCTCCGCGTACCCCGAAGAGCGGTAATCTCTAGTATAGATGGAGGGTAAATACAATGGTAAGACAAAAATCATCAAATCCGGGAATACTACATCCTGTGTGTATACAATATACCTGCTGCAATTTTTTTAAGGAATAATTTAATTTTATATTTAAATCTGATATGTATGTGAGAAACTTTACGCACTATTTCCGCTGTAGTCATCAACATTTATTTTAATAATATCAAGTATGAAATAAAACCATGTATATGCCAACATATATAGGTATAGTGACTCTAACCAGATCTATTTAATATTATGTAGATTGTAAATATATAGTAGGTAGGTACTCATGTTGTAAGTCGAAATCATGAAATCAATAACACCATTGACGATTAAGCAAAATTGGCAATTTGACTAAAAACTGCACAATATTTTATGAGCTATAATAATATATGATATATGGATGGGTTTTAACGAAAACAAAGGAAAGTTACACATCGTATTATGTCCATTTTCATTACACTTTACTCGTAGTAATTAACGACATTTTTTACTGCAGGGCTATACTATAACTGAAGCCACGGTACGACTGCAGCACTCTCCCACAAATAGAACTCTGAAAATATGGAGCTCCCCTCTACTCTCAGAGTAACACGCACAATATACGATGTACACATATAGGGTGTTCAAAAAGTTTGATAAACGATAATATGATAAAACTAATGATGTGATAAAATATTTTGCCTTCTTAATAGTTAATACATTTGCAGCAATGTTATAATCAACAGTGTGGTATCTGTTATTGCTACACCTACCTAGCTAGGTAAAAAATTCTGCAAAGTAAGTTTAAGTCACTAAAGCTTTTTATAAAATCTGTTGAACACCTTGTGTGTGTTTAACACACAGAATCTCGCAAAATTTGATTGATGATTTCGTAAATTAGGGAGACAGAATTGGATGGCAATGTGGTTCTATATACACGATATAGCCACAGATTTAAAATTATATGTATATAAGAAAAAATCTGCTGCCAAAATATGTTTTAAACCGATATCATAACTTATTAAATGTAATATAAATTAATAATAATAAATAATATTTAGTCTGTCCTCAGCATACCTATTAAAGGATAGAAAAATAATAACTATGACTTAATGTGATGTATATCTACATCTGTATTCTAAATCAAAAAGCTTACACATTTCATGAATAAGGATAATTGTACATTTTCCTTACCGCAGTTAAAAAGTCTAAAATACAGTTAACATTTTTTTTTTACTCGTTTAAAGTCTGACAAAATTTGTCCGATTGGGTAAGTACCTATGTTAGTATTCAATTAGGTAGGTAACCAACTAAGCAAATAAAACTAACCTTACTATACATTATATAACGAACCTGTATAAATTATTTTTTAAATATTTGTGAATACTGATTACTAGTCATGAATTTGAGTACCTATATATATTTGTATTTTATTAATTTAATTATAATATACGAGGTATTCAGATATGGCTTTAAGGTTGAATGAAGGAATGAGAAATGTATATGTTTTACAATTATGTGTAAATCTAATTGTATGTGGGTATAAATATGTTTTAGTTTCCATGATTTAAAATTGTACCTGCATATAGTTGGTAATATTTGAAGCTGTCATTTTTATTTTATCTGTATGATATTATTATATTTATATAATTTAAAAATAAATGTGTTATGTGGCTCATAGCTTAAGTTCATTTTATAAACTATAATATTTCATACTTTCAGACTTCAGTTATATTAATTCTTAAATATTAAGTTTCAAATAAATAAAAACGTATATTATCCATATTAAAAGATTAGATATTTGTATATTATTCATAAATTCATAAACATTCAACAAGTATAAGCTAAAGTATTAAAATCATAATAAATTGTAACAAGCAATACATACTTTTAAAGAAATATAAATAATAAGTTATAACAAAATACCTAGTACGTGGCGCAGTAGCTTGTGAAGTCGATGGTGACATAGGTACTATAGGTGCATGGTATAATTTTATATGTTTTTCCTTAATGTATCATTAATCGCTTTAGCAACATAACTAATATTTGTGAAATTCAGTCCAGTAACATTTATTCGTCCACCTTTTACCATATAAATATGATGGAAATATCTCAAGTATTCCACTTGACAATCTGAAATATTAAACACTTAGATTAGTATGCACTGTACGATTATTTCAATTGTATACAGTTTTAACTTGTTTATCTCCAGCTTCTAATTTTTATATTCTACTCAATTTATTTACCTGTCAATAGCAATAATATAAACATCCCTTTTTGATCTGTTATATGGTTCCACTTTCCAGGAGCACCTTCATCCTCGAGAGCTTTTCGGAAAGCTTTTCTTACTTCAATGATTCGAACAACCATAGCTTTGAAACTGCATGACCTATTCAAACAAAAATATTTAAATTTTTAACAATCCAATTTGATTAAGATGATGTTCATTAATTTACCATTCTTCATATAATTCAGGATTGGATAATATTTGAAAAACTGTCTTAGCACCGTGGTTTGGAGGATTTGAGTAAAGACATCTAACGATTCTCTCAAAGTGGATCTTGAGGCTATCACTGTTAAACCCAGACTTCAGTACAACCATCAAGTTGCCAACTCGTTCATCTAATAGAAAATTAATATAATTAGTTTTTAGTACATGCGTTGCCGATTTAGTTATCTACTATTTTTAACTCACTATACATAGTGAACGTCTTGGAAAATGATTGTGCACATAGAAATTCGAACCCTTCACTATGGAAATAACGTATCGGCCAGGCGTCTTCTTCAATATCTCCAGACGCCATTCCTTGATACGCAATGTCGAAGAACGGTATTAATTTACGTTCCTGAAGAATTAAGTAAATACATTCATAATATAATGATTAATTTTGAAGTGCCCAAGTAGGTAGTATTAAGAATACCGGTAACTTACTTTCATAATTTCAGCAACGATTCTCCATTGTTCTTTAGTTAGATCAAAACCAGTTGGATTATGACCACATGCGTGCAATAATACGACTGAATCAACAGAAGCATTAGAAATATCATCACAAAGTCCATCAAAATCAATTGCTTTAGTTTCCCTATTCAAGTAACGATATTCAAATGTATTTTGAAATCCACTAAACGCAAATATGGTTCCATGTATTTCTGAAAAGTATTCATAGTGAAAATCAAAAACTAAAAGTTGCAAGTATGTAGGTATTTTACATCTTGTAGGTAGGAACTTTCCTCGTAAATTAGTGTTTATTACGACAGGATATAATGTATGCCAATAACTACTAAGATTTTAAGCTATACTTCATCTAATACTAATCCACTTCAATAGTACATTTTTTTTAATTTCAAACATAGTTTTATAATTAATAGGTTGGTCCTTAATAGTTAATTTATACAAATATACTATAAAATTGTTATGAAAATATTAAAACGAAACTTTTACAAAACTCAAAATATTTTAAGACTTTAACTCTTAACATTCTAAAGAAAGGTAGTACCTATAATAGTTCCATGCGCTTATATTTGATTTTTTACCTCATGATTTAGAACGAGTAATAAAACCTCTTAACTATTTCCTATGTGTAAGCTGAGCAAAAGAAAACTTGTAGCTATAATTATTGAAATCAAAATTAAACTGTTCGATCCCATTACCTAATAATACATTCCTCAGTCATCACAACTTTTTTTTGTACGAAACAAACCAAAAACAACCCAAAAGCTACTTAAAATTAACACACCACCCACCCTAACTTTTCTACCTATAATTTGTAATGAACACAAGTATGTACTTATATTAGACACCATTACTATAAAAAATATAAGGTTACCATGGACAATTTTAACCATATATTGAGATGACAAAATATAATATAAAATTAAAATGTAACCATATTTTAACCTATAATGGTTAATTAGTATGTTAAAATGTAAATGTATTAATCATTCATAAACATTTTATGAATACTAACAAGTAACAGTGAAGTTACAGAAAAATGAATAATAAAAAAATTTGGAACTATATAAAAATCTACAAAGTATTGGGAGAGATGACTTGATATGCTAAAAAATATAATTAACAATGATTTTAAGTACAAAAATACCAACCATATGATGGATCAGGATAATAAACAGTTGTGCAATTCATATGCCTCGATAAGAATTCAGCTCCAATTTTCAAAGCTCCGGCTCCACCAATAGATTGAACCCCAAATATCTACATAAAATGTAAAATTCAAAATTTTATTTACCTACAGGTAAATTGATGAAAAATTAAAATCCTATATTATTTGGGTTTTCTCGTTCATGCTAATTAATTTGTACAATTATTATACTAGGCAAATGCCAATGACGTTAATGTTACCATAGTCCATAATGCGTTAATATCATAATAATAATTAATAATTATATTTTACGCCCTTACCTTTCCTTCTTGCCATAGTGGATCAATATCACCTAACAATAAACGGCTTGCTGATTTTGTAAAACCTTCAATTCCGGCAGGTGATAAGTAATCATGACTCGAAGTGTCATTTACTACCATGTTTTCTGCTCTCTTAACCACGGGTAATAAATATTGACTAGTATCTTCTAATCTAAAAGCTATAACAATAGGTAATAATTACAACAAACATATTATAATTATGAATTGGTTATAAAAAATCTCTTTTACACAGTATTTTCTTCCAGGTGACTATATATGCAACTTATATGAAACTAAAATTCTAAAATAATGTATTATTAATATAGGAATAGTTAATGACAATTTTTCGAGCCCAGAAAAAATGAGTGAAGTAATTATAAACATATCAATTATATTATACATTTAGTTTAATAAGTTAAGTATTACAAAGTTACGTATTCTTTGATATCATTTGATACATCATTATGGTATAATACGAATCGATACCTATTACATAAGGACATAATTTATTGTATTTGAATAATAATAATCATTATGATATTTTGAATATGACAAAACGCTAATTCACAAAAGAATAGTGACGACTCGAAAAACTTAATTTTTCAGGTCTGTAATTTTAAAACGTTTAATAATATTTTTTTAATTTAAATTGTTTTATTCTGTATATAAAATATACAATGAGCATTTGAAATATTTTTTGAGTGTTTACTATATATTATTCTTATATGTTATTATAATATGTTTCTTATATGAGTTAAATATACGTTGCATATTACTTACTTCCAAAGACAAGGTCTACTTTTACAGGAGAAATGTCGTTATGGAATGCAGTATCAGCTTCAATATATCCATTACGGCCTACTACCGGAACATTATTGAATTGAACCATAATTGTAGCAGTACAATATGAATATAAAATATATTGGTACTCTTATTATTTACTATTAATAGTATTATTTATTAAAACTGTGAATTCAGTTGTAATAGTAATATATTGATTTACACGGATCGAATAATGATAATATATAGCCTATATGGGTATAACTGACCGTATTGAATCGATTAGAGAATGGATGTTTGACGACATCTATTGGGGGTTTATATATGCGTATACAAACCGTTAATGCTATACGTATTCACCGATATAGGTGGGCAGTAGGTACCAATAAATATTATAACATAGATTGGGCGATTAATTTATACAATATTACATCAAGTGTCCGTAAATATACGTAATATTAACCTTTTTGGTAATCCATATTATTGTGAACGTGGCCATGTGATTTTTATGAAGTGTTATTATTGAAGAGAGCGCGTGAAGCGTGATGATGATACTATTCAGTATTCAGGTCGGGTCTGAACTCGGGGTGCCAAGAACGTATTTGTATTTGTTATATGTATATACGTTTACAACCATAATATAGTTATTTAACTTTCAAGTATTTACTCGTCGCACATATCATACTCATATACATCCAGTGGTGGTAAACAAGGTTTCTAGGCCCGGCATGGATTAAATCAAATTTTAAGGGTTGACGAGTGGTGTATTTGAATTGTATTATTTATTTTATTTGATGTTTAAACACCTCACCAGTCGTGGTGCTAAAAACTTGAACATACCAATTGCGAACTTTAAAGCAATTGGTCAAAAAGTTCGATTTGAAGTACGGGTTTACTGTCTAAAAAAAAGTCCAAAAATACAAATTATCAAATTCACAAATGTTCAAAAATTAAACATAATGACATACGCTGATACAAAAAACCAAATCAAGGAACACATACAATCCAAATTGCAAACGCACTGGCTCAATCAGAAGACTAAACTAAGGAGAATAAAAAACACAATCTTCAACTCGCCAAATTTCCCTCCGAATAGAAGGGATAAAGTAATCATAAACAGATTCCGTATCGGCCACACCCGTCTTACTCATGGATACCTTATGGACAAAAGTGAAAAACCTCGATGCATTTCTTGCGGAACTGAACTCTTGGTCAATCATTTAGTCACCGAGTGCCTCCAATACGCGGATGAATGGTGTAACTTCGACATACCCAACACACTGAACACAGCATTAGGACCGGACGCGGATACCACCACACAGATTCTCGGATTCTCGAGGGAAACAAGTCTATATAGTAAAATTTAAGTTTAAATGTAAAAATATGAAATTGTATATGTTTGTAAAATTGTAACTAATGGCCCTTGTCGCCGATGTTAATCAAGATCAATAAAACAAATAAATAAATAAATTCACAAAATTTAAATTAAAAAATGTATTAATATTGATAGCATTTTCTTATAATTTAACTACTGTATTATCGATAATAACATTTAATTATTATTTCTTATACATTATGTACATGATTATAATCATAGGCGATAAGCCTTTAGTTATTTAACTATCAAGTATTTACTCGTTAAGTACAATTTGTTTGTTGGTAAAGTATAATCAGGGCCGTATTTAGGGGGGATCAATGGGGACATTTGCCCCGGGTGGCCAAATATTGATCTATTTAGGGGGTGGTCGGGCCCCCCGTGGTAACTCAGTGCAGTATTATATCAATAAATATTTTTTTTTGGAAATAATTTTTATTATGACTCGACCCTTGTGAACTTAATAGTGCAACGATAACGGATAAGTGCTAGCGCCTAGCATAGAATATAATTAATATTATTTTAACATAACCACGGTTATAGATGGACAACTATGACTTAACCATAAAGAATTATAACTAAAAATGTGTTAAGAAAAGTCAAAAAAGTGGGTCTATTTTGTGGTTGGGGGGGGGGGGCGTAAAATTATGGTAAATTATTGTAAATACGACCCTGAGTATAATATGAAATATTATATAGTATTTGTGAAGTCTGAATAGTTTGTTTCCCAACTTATTTTGTCGTAATAAATGTTGGAGAGTTCGTCCAAAAACCACAAACCTATGAATTTAACTAAAAAAAGGTCGATGGATAAAATCAGAATCGTTTCATTGTGTAGAAAAATACCTCACAGTATTAGACCAGATGTATTAGGATTTATATGAGTAGAGAACGGATTTTATTTAAATACATATTTTTATTGAAATGAGATATTATAAATCTGATAGAAATGTTTACGAATTAGATCATTCTAATTGAATAAACCCAAATTTATTTTACATATTTTGGTATAAATACATATTTTAGTATCTTATTTGAACGATTTTTGGAAATTGGAGACACCTTCCTGTATTAAGAGGACCTAGCCAATAATTATGCAATAGTAGATTATCAGCTCTAATAAAACTTATAAATAAATTTTACTGCTTAAGGTTTTGTTTTTTTTTTTTTTTAAGTTATATTTACCATTTGTATCAAATGTATACAATAAGCAAATGTGATAAATACATTACGAATATTAAAATTACATGACATTATTTACATGAGGAGGGAGACTATCCGTACGCCTATTTAAAATTCTATTATGGTACATTTGTGGTATATACGTAATTCATAATAATTATGAAAATGTCATAATATTAAAGCCTTGTATAATTAATAATTATTATTACTTTTTTAGAAATAATTACTTTTTGGGGGAATGTAAGGCAACAATTGTATAAGTTTAATATTGCAATACATTTTTTAACAGAAATTGGGCCGGGGTAAAGCTCTTCGTGTAGTATAATATTGTCAAATTTGGGTAATGGTGGTGTTGATACATTTTTGTATCACTGAACGTATAAGATTATAATAATATAACTATTCGATATGACACCAGCATAGCCACACATTGCACACATTTTTTGGGGTAGCTTAAGTTTTCACAAACTAAAATATTCTAAAATTATGTATATAAGTTCCTACTACGTAGTATAGGTACTAATTTTTTTTGGGGAATTGGGGCCAAAATTTGACGAGACTAAATCATCCGCTCTCTATCTGTGACAATGGAACCAGTTAGGTATTTTATTACTACTTCAACATAGGCGGACTATGGCATCTCTCGAACGCCCATTAAATATTTTATTATTTTATGTATTATTTATATGAATTATAAAAGTGGCCTATGTGGGCCATTCTCTTGTCCAGATCATGCATACAAACTTGGCTTAAACAGTTCCTCTCTGCACTCTACACATAACTGAAAGCGTCTGTGACCTCTCTTATTTACAAATAGACTGTCCATTACTATATTTTAAGCGTAAGTCTCTGTTGAGCTATCTTAAGTCGCTAAACATTCCCCCATCTTCCGTTTATGCTTAATATTAAATCTGAAATGGTTATTAAAAAAATTATTAACTCAATATTGGAAGCTGGTTTCGTAATTTAACGTTGTTGATATTATTTTCATTCGTTATTGTTATTATTATTTTTTTAAGTATACTTTGTAGTGTCTTAATATCACTATATTTGTTTTTATTTTTATTGTATAACATATATACACTACAGTTAATTATCCGATTTTATTACTCACTACCATGTATGCACTGTAATTTATTGTCGAGCTATAGTAATAGAAGCTCTAATAAAAAAAAAAAAATAGGGGCCTATGAAAAGCTACTAACATCGTAGAATAACATCATCCTTAGCGTACAAACATATATAATAACATAAGCACTCGACACTGTCCAGGTAATGGTCACGTGGTAGGTAATGTAAAAGTATTACGTTATTTTTTATGTAAAAAAGTGATAAATTAATACTTTTATTGTTATCAAATGATTTTATATTTGTTCGTGTTGAATATTTGTATGAAATACCTAGTTTTTATGAAAAAAAAAAGATGTAAAAATATCAGGTAAAACCTAAATCTTGCTCCGGCTATACATAGTGTTTCTGAAATGGATAAGGTCTCTAGTATAGGTATATGATAATTACTTACCCACTGCAGTGATCAGTGATGGGCCAATGAAGATTTTTTTGAAATTTGTTTTCTATCTTCAAAATCTGGGTTTGTTCAAATTATTTTTTAAATATTATCTAAGAAAAAATAAATACTCTATTTGTTTATTTGCGAAATTCTCTTACGAATCGAGGCGTCACATCATTTTTGCGCTTGTTCGCGTTTTTACGTTCTAAAGAAATAAGTATATTCTGTAAGTAAGTACTTACAAATTTAAAATGCAGTATTTTTTAGGTAACATAAGATTTGTTACATACAAGTCTTGAAGTCCACATAATATAGACATTTGGTAAAAATATTTTCCTTTTTTCATATTATAACACAATATTCAACTAACGTAATTTGTCAGAGAATATAAGAGAAATAAAAAAAACTATAATAGATGAAATAAGTACGTAGGTAAGTACCTAATACCTACTTTATATTTTGTTACATTTTGTATGCATCACATAATACTTAATAGTACCAAAATTATGTCGCCCCGTAGCATAAAATGTCCAAATACGGCCCTAAGTATTCGTCGAAGTATAATAATGGTAGGTATGAATATTGCTGGTACCCAGGGGCGGATTCAGAAATTCATCAAGGGGGGGTAATAAAAATATATCCATCAGATACTATTCATACAAAAATTCAACCGACATTTTTTTTTTAAATAAATTTATAAAATTTAAATATAATAAGCTCAAGGGGGGGTTATATATTATGTTAGTTATGCCTTTTGTACGAACAGATTAAACATAATATAATATCTAGCTATAGAAGATATGTCTGCAAATACCTTTACTATAAGTAATAACAAATAATGAATTAATTGTTTTCTCGCTCCTGCCCAAATGCAACATGTCAAATCTGTATTCAGCAGAACCATGCAATCTTGTTTTGTTAGATTTGATAATATTTTATAGAGTGAATCAATCTATTCTCAAACTTAAAGTTTATCACATTATATTTGGTGTACGTTAGATTCATTTTTGGTGAGTGAATATTTTTTTATTGTATAATATTTTAACAAATAATCATGGATTAAAACTGAAATATAAACAGGTCAAAAATAGAAAACTGAAAAAAGAAGAGAAGGATAGGAGCAAATATAGGCGGGATTGGGATTTTTTGTTCTGCGATATCTGGAGTGCCTATTTCTGATAGGTTACATAAATACTGGCGATAAAAATTGTTACTTTTCCATGGAAAATGTGATGAGGGACTAAAGAGAATA